GTGAATATTATTAAATAAGGGTGATTATTAAACATATAAACATTAATTCTTTTTAATTAAAAAAATATTTGTTTAACCCTCTAATGTCTGATATTAATTTGGCGGTATGATGGTCTAAATTTGTGTGTAGCAAAATTTATAATTGAAATATAGATTTAAATTCTTATATGTTTATGTCATTTATTGACGACAAACCGATTCTATGAAGGAAGTTTTGTATGGGTATTAGTGTAAAAAATTAACCCATTGAAGAATAGATTTATGTTGATATAGAAGGGTTTATGCCAAATGTCATAGAAATATAAACATACATATATACATATAACTCCATTACGGGCGTTACGAGATTTTGAATGTTTGCCATAGGTCAACTATGAAGTGATCTGAAAAGCCAAAATACGAAGCACGGTAATATGAAGGATATCTGAAATAATCAACCGATTTCAAAAAATTTAAATAGACTTACTCTTTGGGCCAATACAAATATTTTTCGGACATCAATAAATCGGCTAAGAAAGTTGCACTATAAGGTGGTTTATGCCGATGATGCTTTCAGCATTAATGAAAGTTTACATGGACACACAGTCGGACAGACAGACATAGCTTAATTGACTCAGAAAATGATTCTGAGCCGATTGGCATACATTAGGTACGTCATTAAATTTGTATTAATTTAAATGTGAGTTTTTATCTAATGAAGATAGCGTAAACCGTACATGGGGAACCTCCATGAGACTTATGAACAACTAGCATACCCTGGGTGCTTCGCTACCCTAACCAAAATTAAAAACATACAAAATTTTGTTTACTTTTATAGAAAATTAAAAACATTTTTTAATGTATAAAATATTATTATTTTATTTAAACAAAAATTTTGTGTTTTTCTGTTCAATAGACAATTCAAAAAATATAATTTGATTTGATGAAAAAGTACCAAAAGTCCCTTTCAGTAGATTCTCATTCACTAAGGTCCCTATATTTTAAATTTTATATCGAAAAAACGAAAAAGTACAAAAATCTCTCTCAATAAATTCTCATTTAATAAGGATGTGTTACGCTTAACCATTATAGAGAAACCAAAAGAAACCATTTGAAGAATGGAAAAGTACCAAAGAGTACCCACTTACAGAATATTATTCAGTTAAGACAATGTATGTTAAAATTTATATTCCCAGGTTGAATATTTTAGAAAATTCAAAAAGTACCATTTATGAGATAAAAAGTACTCTCTTAAAGAATCTTACTCAATGAGGACCGTGTATGTTTAATAACCAAGTGTTTTGAATTCATATTATAGAACATACAAAGAGTATCATTTGAAGAAAGATAAAGTACCAAAAGTGGAATAAATTCTACCTTAATGGAGAGTACTAATAAAAATAGTAAAATTTTTCCCCTTTTCGCTTAGAAATATACTTTTTTGAGAATTAAGTTTATAAAATGTTCCTTGTTTAAATCTCTATGTCACAGATAAAACTCAAACGTTTCAAATTTGCATTCATTTGTTCCAGAAAAATTGTGCTTTCAAAAAGGTACCAACAATTTACTCGAATTTGGTCCTATATAGCCTTTAGTACTGGAATTCCAAAATAATATACCAATAGCTTATTTTGTGTGAGTAAATAAACTATTTTTTCAAATTTTATAAAAATTGGTTTAATAAGAACAAAATTAAATTTCCCGTTTTTACTTTTTTTGGTACTTTTTTCCCTAGTGAAATAGCAAAAATTTTGTTTCAAGAAATATTACAGAGGAATACTTTAATAAATCGAAAAAGTTTTCTTAATGTGCTAAAAAAATACCAAAAATACAGTTTTCTCCCTTTTACACCCAAAAAGAACTGAATTTTAAAAAAGTACGAAACAGGTGTCTCCTAATTTTGGGAGATATATTCAAAATATTTACAACAATTTTATTTTGTTTATTAGTTAAAAGGTTATAAAGGGCCAAAAAAGGTACCAAAATAACCTTTGTTACACATTTTCACCCCTTAAAAGTACGAATTTCAAAAAAGTACCAGACACCCCTCTGCTTATTTTAAGAATAGATACAGGTGCATTTAAAATTTTATGATTCTAGGTTCAGCCGTTTGGCCAGTGCGATGATGAATCAGTCAGTCAGTAACGCTACTCTTTTATATATATATAGAAGATAAAGAACAGAATAAAATAGTAAAGATATTGGGTGGATATCTCTCACAATTTAAATGAAACTTTGGAAAAATATATAATGATATATAATTATGAAGACATCAAAAAATCCTTTGTGCAAAACATGAACAAATTTGAAAACCGTAAAATAGGGCCTTTTTATCCTTTAACTCAGCTCACCAAATATTGATCCCAAGACAAAGGTTTGAGAAACGATATGTTAGAATTAAACAAGCTTTCATTCTCGGCGGAAACATTAGTACCTCATTACTGACATTATATACTTATAACCTTCTTAAACTGGAATTAACATTAAAAAAGTAAAGAAAAAGTCTAAATTAAGATATTTAAAAATAATGTAGAAAATAAATATTATGCTACAACAACTACCTCGTATTTAACACATTTTGTTACGGTGGTATTTGATATGACTTTTGTACATACCTGAAAAGAAAAATAAAGAAAAAATAACAATTAGTTTTTTTTATATTATTAAAAAAAGGAGAAATATTGAAATATAGAAATTTTCAAGATATTATTGCATACATACAACCGTACCTCCGGGCTTTGGAGCTTATAACTCTGTTAAAGATTCTAGTATTTCTGCAGTAACAGGCTCAACTTAGTCTCATATGAGTCTAAATGGTAGTGTCGATTTTCGTAATGAACTTTATGTAAACGTAATGCCGTCTTGAAGTAGGTCCCTAACGGCCACACCTAAATAAAAGCGTTGAGTGTTATATTTCAAATATAGGCCGATCCCCAACAAATTGGTAGAAAGGATGTCATTTTATATAAAGTTTAGTTATTCTGAATTTCATCCCGATAATAATGGTTATAAGTCAATTTTTAGACGTTTAATGGGGTATGTATGGGGGCTAGGGTCAAACGACGACCCATCATTATAAAAATCGACATGGTCATTTAAGTCTATATAAAACTTAGTTGTGCCAATTTTTTAAGAGATGGTAGTATATTTGACGTAGTTATGAGTTAAAATCCCAAATCGGAAGGTCAGGTTGTATGGGGGCTAGGTGAAATAATGAAACGATTTCAACTATTTTCAATAGGCATCGTTTTTGTGCCAAAAAACTCGTATGGTCAAAATTTTATCGAAATATCTTGAAAATTGCGGCCTGTAGCTTGCGCAGACGGACGGATGGTCGGACGGATGGACATGTCTTAATGGATTCAGAAAGTGATTCTGAGTCGATCGGTATACTTTAAGATGGATGTAGGACCAATATTTTTGTACGTTACAAACATCAGCATAAACGCATAATACCCTCCCCACTATAGTGGTGTAGGTTATAAAAAATAACGCCCCGTTTTTAAGAAACTATTTCATATGAAGATAAGCCTTAAATTTAAAATGGTTTTAGTGATATTTCCCAAAAAAATACAATATAGAGCTTTTGGAGAGGATAAAAGCTATAATTTTTGTTTGCCGGTCACACCTACTTTCACTTTAATCTCTTAACAAAAATTTCCTAAATAGCAGGTATACGGCCAGGCTCAAATACTTTCTACTGTATAGCAGACTACGGCTTTGCTTAGTTAAAATATCCTAACGAGCTGGCCTTCAGTCGGGAGTCTTGCCTGAGATATATGTGCATACTTTAGCCCTTTTTTGTTAAAAAAAAAATTGTGTACATTTAAGTCATATTTCGAAGGGGGCTTTGTAAGGGGGCTATTATAGAACTTGGTTTTGCTTTTTGTCGAGATACGAGTATATTAAACATAATTATAAACTAAAAAGCCCTATTCGGGGGGTTCAGTTGTATGGGGGCTAGGTCAAATATTGGACCGAATCATGTGCAAAATTTTATTATATTATCTTCAAAACTGTACCTGTGCTTTGATTACAAGGTTTACAAGCCCTTATCAGGGGTTCGGTTGTATGGGGGCTAGGTTAAGTAATGGACCGATCATAACCATAGGCTTCGTCCATGAGACAATAGAAGATCATGTACCAAATTTTCATTGAATTATCTTCAAAATTGCGACCTGTAGTTTGATTACAAGGTTTACATGGACGAACAGACAGAAGGACAGACGGATAGACGGACAGAAAGACAGACAGACGGACGGACAGAGCTAAATCCACTTAGAAAATGATTTTTCCATACTTTATAGGGCTAATATTATTGTGCGTTACAAACATCAGCATAAACCCAATATACCCTCCCCACTAAAATGGTGTAGGGTATAAAATATAGAAGACGCAAGAGGAATTATATCAAGCCATAATACACAAAACATTTATCGATTAAAAACTTTTAATTATTTGACTTCAATAACGCCAGATCATTGATTTCCACCAGTGTGCAGTGTAAACTATATCATAAAACTTTTATTATCTTGACGTATTTCATGATTTTTTTTTTTTGCTTCGCTTTCACATTCCTTTAAAAACTGCATTTAAGAAAATTAATTTTATATTGAAATTTTGTGCAATGTAAATAAATTGAAATATTTACAACCATAAAATTGTTTTTATGGACCACACATTCCAAATTACTAAGCAAACTTTAGAAATACTTATTTATATTTAATACTTAAGAAAAAAAATTAATTTTAGACACACAATGAAATATATTTTTAGAATTTCCATAAATATTTTTAAACACAAATACATAAAAGAGAAGTGATGAAGTGGAAATAAAAATAAAAAAGTATCTATTTTTTTCTGTTACGTATATAGATATTTACGATTAAACATAAAATAACACGTCATAACATTTACCGAATGAAACTAAAAATAAAATGTTGAAATTGTTGTTACTAATGAAACAATTAAAGATAAAAACCAAAGAGAGAAAAATTATAAAAAAGACCACAAACCGTTTT